TAGGGCGCAATAATTATTTAGGGCGCAATAATTATTTAGGGCGCAACGATGATTATATAGGGCGCAACAATGATTATATAGGGCGCAATAAATATTTAGGGCGCAACAATGATTATATACTGCGCAATGATTATATAGGGCGCAATAATTATATAGGGCGCAATGATTATATAGGCCGCAACAATAACTACTTAGGGCGCAATGATTATGTTGGGCGCAATAATTATATTGGGCGCAATGATTATATAGGGCGCAATAATTATGATTATGTTGGCCGCAATAATTATATAGGGCGCAATAATTATAGAGAAGGCAATTCATTTTATTATCGCAATAGATATAATCAAAATTATCGAAATATACCACGACAATATTTTAGTCCATATGATAGAGGTGGATATGGTTTCGTAAGTCCAGGACAAGAACAACAGGCAAGATTAGTTCAACCCGCTAGATTACCTCGTCGATTAAGTAATCGTCCTAGAAGACGAGGTCCACGACAAATTCGTTTAAATGATTTTATGCCAACTGAATTACGTGAACCTTTGCCACAACTTCCACCTGATTTTAATATAACAACAAATACAAATGCTCCACCAGATGCATTACCACAACGTGAAAGATTTGTTCAAAATGATACTACTCAACCTTTCACAGTTACTGGAAATAATCAAAATAAACAACTACGTCAACAACAGCAACAAAATCAACGTCAACGTAAAACAACATCTTCATTTAGACGTCGACAACGTCGTAATAATCGATTTGCTGTATTAGCTGATGAAAATGATATTTTATCTGATGTGAAAGCTGAAGTTAAAGATGATTCTATGCCTTTAAATACAAATAAAAAATTAAGAAATGTTAAAAATGCTAAAAAGACTCGTCGATATCTTGAACCAACTCGTATATTAAAATGGTTAGAAGATCATTCGCGAAGTTCAAAAAATGCTATAAGTAGTCGTGGAAATCAAGCATATGTATTAGCTTCAGCCTCAAGTTATGATGATTGGGTTCGTAATAATTATGAATTACAAATCTGGCAAGCTTACCTTAAAATGGGTACTGAACAAAAACATTGGGCTAAAGAAGTTATTCGACGTACAAAACGACGTGATGATATAATTAATACTCGATTTGTACAAAAGAAAATTAATCGTTTAACAACTGATATCGCTAGAGCATGTGCTACTATTTCAGAACTTCAAATCGAATTATCTACATATTGGATGCAAACAACTTCTGAAACTGGAAATCAAAGATTAGCTCAAACAACAGCTAATATAGTAGCTAAAAAGTTATCAGTAGAAAAAGCACGTCAAGCAGTAACTACGGCAACTGTAGGAACAGATACAGAAGATGAATTAATTACAGGAACTACAGAAACAGTCCAACCTGCTGCTACTACTACAATGACGACTAAAAATTATGCTCGAGAACCAGTTGAACGTATAGAAAAATATATATTGGAATACATTTATTTTTGTACACAACATATGAAAAAATTGGCTCAATCTCGAATACAATTAGCTAAAGTTCAAATGGATGAATTTAAAGCATTAGAAGATTTTGAACAAATAGCTAGCCCAGCTCAATGGAATATTCATTTAATATTAAAACCCAAAATTAAGAATTGGTCTACAAAAAATAAAAATTATCAAATGTTATCAAAACGTGTTGAATTAGATTTACTTCCAAAAATTATTGAAAAAGTTAATTTTTCTTTTAAAATTGATGAATCAATTATTAGTCAAGATGAAGCTCAAGCCACATATAATCAAATGCGTCAAATTACCAAAGATTTTCGTATTCAAGCAATGACATTATATGTTCAATCAACTGCTCGAGAAAATGAAATCTTATCAAATGAAATTAAAGGTATTGTTGATAGATTTCCCAATGATAACGATGATGGTTTTGATGCTGAACCTGGTTATGCAGCTTTTAAACAATATCATGAGTTACGAGAAAAAAGAATAAAATTAGAAATTGAACAATCAATGCATTTTTTATTCGAACTGCAAGTCGAGGGCGATACCAACAATCTGCAAATACAAGAAGAACCAATCGCTCCGACTGTAATACGTTCGCTGGGCGAGGATTTCTTGCTCCAGCAATAATTAATGAAGCAAATATTCGATTAAATGAAGAAGAACATCAATTATTAAAATTGGGACCCAAATTTATATTCAATGACCCAAAAACAGCTGCTCGACGACGTATAACTGAGTTGGCTGCTCTTCGTCGAAAAATTGAAAATTGTTTCTTTCGAAAGAAAGTGAGCCCTGGTCGTCCTGTTCAACAATTTATAGCTGAATTAGATGTACTTCTTCAAACTTTACATAATGTTTCAACAGCAGATAAATATTTAAATAAAAATGCATTAATTGACAATAATACAAATCAAAATAAAAATGTTATAGAAATTATAAATAGTCAATTGTCTCAATCACAAATTGTTAATACAATTAAAATTAAGAAAAAGAAGAATTATGGAAGATTAGTTAAAAGATTGAAGCATAAATTTAAATTGGCAAATGTCGTATTACAAAAATCAGATAAATCAAAAGTATTCCATTTAGGTAAATTAGAAGATTATCGTAAGAAATCTGAAGAATATATGGCTAAAACTGAAGCATATAAATGCTTAGGTACAAATGATCCATTACCAGATTTAATTACAAGAACCAATAAATATTTATTGGATTTAAGATTAACTAAATGGATTACTCAAAAACAATACGAAAATTTATGTATTAATCCATGTGAAGTGGAGCTGGCTCATTTATATTATTTACCAAAAGCCCATAAGCCAGGTACTCCTCTTCGTCCAATAGTTTCTGGCCTTAAACATCCTACTATCAAAATATCAAAATTTCTTGATGAATTATTAAGACCATTATTTGATAAAATGGCTGTAAAAACAACCGTCAATTCTGGTTTTGAATTAATAAAACAGTTATTACAATGGTCAAAGATAAATATGCGTCAAGAAGCATTATTTTGTACAATTGATGTGATGGATCTTTATACAATGGTGCCACAAACTGAAGGAGTATTATCATTAAAAAAGATGTTAGATTATTTAAAATTAAAACGTATTAATGGATTAAAAATTGAAACAATTATTAGATTAAGTCGATTTGTAATGCGAAATAATTATTTTTCTTATGATGGCCAATATTATCATCAAATTCGTGGTGGAGCAATGGGCTCCCCTCTTACCCTAACTATTGCCAATTGTTATATGTTCTTTTATGAACAGCAAATTATAAAGCAAATACATAATAGTGGTGGGCTTTATTTTAGATATATTGATGATATTTTTATTGTAATAAATTGGCCTGCTCGGCATTTATTGAAGCAAATCGACAAATGGAATCATTTTGATGAAAATATTAAATTATCTGAAAATATAGGTGTAATGGCCGATTTTCTAGATTTACATATAGAAAATCGAGATGGTGAATTATTTACGACTGTTTATCAAAAACCATCTTATGAGCCATATTACTTACCATTTAATAGTATTCATCCATTGCATATGAAAATGAATATAATTTTTACTATGTTACTCCGTGCTATTCGATATTGCTCAACTTTTCAAGATTATTTAAATGAGCGTGAAAGGCTACGAATGGCATTATTATTAAACAAATATCCGAATAAATTTATTGATACACAATTTATGTATATTTTAGAAAAGTTAAATATTGAACAATTGTTAACAATCAATAATTATGCTGAATACCGTTACAAAATTATAGATTCTCCAATAAAAGAAAAAGTACCTATAGATTTTGGAAAGACAATGTTTGTACATTTTACATATTGTTCAAATATGAGGATATTTCCAGGTAAATTCCACACATTATGGAATAAATATTTTGGTGAATCTCCAATTAATGATATTATACCCACTCTTGGTACTCGAAACGTCAATAATCTCCAACGACGATTAGTACATACAAGATGATATAATTTTAAATAGGTATTCGAAAAAATTATAATTTATAGTCAATATGGTCTTTATGATCTTAAAAAGTCTAATACATCCATTTAATTCATGAAAGCTTGGACATGGTGTTAATTTGGGCCACATTGTGTCCTATTTTTAAACT